AAAGAAAGAAAGAAAGAAAGAAAGAAAGAAAGAAAGAAAGAAAGAAAGAAAGAAAGAAAGAAAGAAAGAAAGAAAGAAAGAAGCTGTATCTAGTTAATAAAAGTTTTGATATGGGGAAATTATTTACCCATTTGTCTTGAAGTTATTTCCCATTTGTCCAGTACTACTTAATTTGACATTTCAAAAGTCCAGGAGAGGGCAATAATTTCACTGAGCCTCGTGGCTGAAAATCAAGAAAATTAATTTGAGGAATCCCTTGTAAACTAGAAGATAATTTTCATGGCATAAGAGGTGACAGAATTTGACTATGAGACCAAACAAAGTGCAGAGAGCCCATGGCTTGAACTTGCCAGTGTGAGAGTTTCAGATAAACCAGCTGAGAACAAACTCCTTTGTGCAAGAAGCAGGTTAATAAATTCTTCATGTCCTTCTGTGACAATTCTCTAAAGTGCACATCTCACCTTCACAACAGAGGTGCTGCTTTGCTGAGCCTGCAGGGAGCTGTTCTAAGATACTCAGATACTTGCACAGTGCCCACCCTGCCAATGGATCACCCCAGGAAAGGGCTCCTGCCTTCCAGTTTTCCAGAAGCAGATGGAATCTTGCTTCTCTTTTCTGTGCTGCATGTTTTACTAGAAATTAGAATTCAGAGAAGTGCACATCACCCTCAGAATAGAGAATGGGAGGCTACCGTGAATTCTTAATTCCTGTTGGATTTTGTTCTGCAGTTCAGGCTAAAAATGCAGTTTCAAACACCCAAAAGCCTCTTCCCTCTCTTTTCTCTGAGGGGAGTGGAGCTGAGTTGCTCCCAGACTACTCAGAGGTTCAAAGCACGGTATTAGCTCCCTGAAATGTGGCCTTAAGAGCTTGGTTTCTTTGACTTTAAGACAAATTTAGTGGCTATTTTTGAAACAAACAGTATGGATTTGCTTAGGTGCTGGTGTGTTCCCAATAGTTTGGAGACTATTCTTAAATGCAGCAGCTGCTGCTTGCACAAGAGGAGTCTTTTTTGATGGGCCATTAGCAGGACCCAAGGATTTATTGTCCAAGACAGTTCAGGGGGAGTTACTAACTTAAACAAAAACTACATTTCTTTCCAAAGCATGTCCAACACAAGCATGATGCCAGCAGAACACAGGGGATAAACTGACAGGTCTCTACTAGATTAGAAATCCAAGAGGCTTTTTCTAACTCCAGTAGGCATCAAAGTCTTAGTGAGAAGGCGCTCCATTTGAAGAGAGAAGGGAAAAGCCTTCCTTCCTCTGCTGAGGAGCTGTGAATCACCAGATTGGGTATTTAAGCAGCAATTTGTCTGGATACAGGCTGAATTGTTTTTTTATTTTTAATAAAGTTATTTACAGGCAAACTTTCTACAAAATAAACAACCTTTCTATAAAAACTCTGCTAATATTATCTTCTTTCTGTGTCTCACTGTTTGTTTTCCTGATTGGCAGATCCAGCTTTCCTTGCCATATTTGACAAAGAAAGATACTCTCATGTTCATGCATTGGGACAGATGTTATCATTTTGATCCCATTTTGATAATTTTGACCCGCTCAAAGGAGGTCTTATTAGACCAGGTTTTTCAAGCCCTTTTCCAATCAAAATAGAAGCATTTTAACAGGGACCTGTGGTAAAATCAAGCTCTGAGTGGTGGAATTTAACTTTAGATTACTTTTGTATAAAGAAGGTATATATTTCACAAAATAAAGAAGGTAATTTTCTGTGAGGAAGAGTTGTAGTTACTCTGACTCTCCCAAAGTCAGAGTTTTATTTTGTGTATTTTCACACCAGCTTTACAGACATCCTATCCAAATTCAGCAGATGGCAAGGCCCAACATGTGGCTCTGAATAATCTTCAGTAAAACACACACCTGCCAAAAATGGATAGAGAATTAGGTACTCTATGGTCTGTGCTTCTTCACTGCATGTCTCCATTCTGGAGTAACTTCATTTCCACTGATTACTTGTCCTGACAGCACTGGGAGAATCCACCCCATCAGCCAGTTTATCCATGTACCTATAGGCTAAGGGTCAGCAACATCAGTGTCATTTTCCATGACTTTGTCCTTCATGGCAAGCTAGGAATGTCATGTTGGTGGTTAGGAAGCGGGGAATGACAATGATTTTTAAATGTTGATGAAGAGTTAGATTTTATTGTTCTGTTTGTAAGCCCCTGAGCAGCTGTGCCTACTTTCTCTTAGAATTTCTGCCTTGGTTTCCAGTGCTCCTGGACAGAAACCACATCTACAAATGGTCCTGTCAGCAAGCTGGTCCAGTTCAGACATCTTGTGGTTTGTATTTTGCAAGCTTAATGCAAATATTAACATGTAGCACCTAACTGTGCTTTTTGAGGGGACCATGTACTGCTCAGATAAACTGTTAAATGTCTCCCTTTATAGAAGCCAAGTGTTTGCCTTCTTGCTTTTTTAAAAACAAAATGTTAAGTTAGTTGTTTGGTTAAATATAATAAGTGCACTGCATTACCCTCATGATGCAAGTTTATTTCTTTGATTATTTAAGGATACACCAAACCACTATAACCTATTTTTAGAGATACAAGTACAGCCAAAGTATGATTAAAAGTCATGGAAGTACATACTCTTTTCCAGTGTCATTTTAATATCACTGTTATTTCTGCACAGTATGGTCAGTGTGATGGGTCTGCATACTAACACCTTACAGTGACATCATCTACTACATTCTGCATTCCATTTCCTGATCTGAAAAGGCTCCCATTCCTAAATTAAGTGAAAAGGATAAGCATCATATCCATTCACCTTTTTATCTCTGTGTCCCCAGAATCTGAGAGGACCTGTAATCCTATCCTTGGAGTGCTGGATTGAAGGGTTAGAAGGCCTGGAAAGGCACACACCAGCAATAATCCATCTGGAAATACTTTTATAAACTTCTGAAGAGTTAAGAATGCAAGGTGGGCTGCAGGAGACAATTTAAAGTGTATCTAAATATCTGACAGTGCTTTTTTTCAAGATGACTTCCATAGATTTTCTCTAATAGCCTTTGAGATCATATTACAGATGAGACTGGGAATAAAACACTTTCAGTATCAGCTTCAAGCCAAACCAGGAACAACAAACTCTGACTTTGAGAAAGAAGACCACCATTATGACACCTTCTTGGTCTCAAGAGGGTCTTAGATAAGATATTTAATTAAAAGTATTTGTAATCTCTATTAGATGCCTCTGTTGTGGTGGAGAAACTTTAATACACCATGGGGTTTGTCTCTCTGCTAGGATGGGAGAAATGGAATGTAAAGCAAACACTGTAAATCAGGTTAGGCTTTATAGCAGTGTTATTTGCCACAGCTTCCTCCAGCAAAAAAAGAATGGATCAGGAAGGACAACATGGAAGAAAACAAAGGAACACAAGCACAAGGCCTTCAACTGGACTGCATTGTCAGCTCCTTCAGAGGTTTCTCTGCTGACTGTGTGCCTGGCAGGTTCCTGATGTTTCCTGCAAGCACTGACCTTGGCATGCAGCTGCACAAGAGAGGCTCAAGGAGGAAGTGGCCTAAGGAAGACACTGCTGTGGAGAGAGAAATCAGGTGTCTCACCTGTCCATGTAAAGGCCAAAGGGGTCACTGCAGGAGCCAAACAAATGGAGAAGCTACGTCATTCTGCAGGCAAACACTGGGTCTCTGTGGGAAAAATGTCCACAGGTTGCAGAGATTTCAATGTCCAAGGTGGCAGGGGGTATTTTTCCTGAGGGTATGATGTTTGTCCAACAGTCCTTGAGCTATACTTCCCTCCAGGAATACTGGACTGCAGGATGGGGAGAAAGAAAATAAAGCAAATAAACAAATCTATAGGCCTAGACTTGGTGTATGGTTGTAGTGTGGATTCATATAAACTGCAGTGCTGATACATCATTTATACAGAATCAGTATTTTTCAGGGAAAACTTTTGCTAAGCAACTGATGCCTGTATAACTTCGGTCAAAGTTACAAGGTACTTATATAGCTTGGATTATGCCAATATAACCTGATATATGTATATAACCTGATATCAATATAACCTAAATGATGACATTTTATGTATCTATATGACTTGAAATCTATATAACCTGATATAAATAACTTTTTATATGATGTAATGGTTAGTTAAGTAGTTGCTTAATGCTGAATAAACCACAAAAAAAAAAAAAAAGAAAAAACTCGCCAGGTGGATAGCTTTAGAGATAGATAAGTATAGTACTAAAGAAAAATTGGCAAGTGCAAAGCAAATTAGCCACAAAACAAAGAATTTGGCCAGTTAAGACCAGACAGACTGAGGAGCACTGTCACTGTGCATGCTCTGAAGACAAAGTTGAAAAGTTCAGATGCAAAGACGACCTTGGAAGCTTTCATCAAAGACCCCCAACAACCCCCAAAATGGAGATGTGCAAGCACAGTGCAAAAGAACTATCTAATAACCATGAGATCATACTACATAAATTAGTTCCAGCATGTATGTGATGATGTTATAGTGACATAGAAACACTAAGCAACACTTACTGTATAAATACACCACAGCATTTGACAAGGGTGGGTGAGTTAGGTGGAGATATCCCCCTCACCACCAGCAGTGCAATAAACAAATACCTGCCCTATAGACATTGGTCTATGGGGATTTATTTCAAGCCTGTTTTTCAGGCATCAGAGAAGTTTGCATGTCATTGCAGTGCGGGTGGATATCCCAGTGGGATGTTGGAGAGGAAATTTGGCTTGCACCTGTGCACCTCAGTGTGGGCATGTTTTGGCATTATTTTCACATGTGCACTGCGTTATGGGACATCAGAACTTGCTCCTTCATTAAATTTGATATTGTAGCATCACATTTTGCCTTTCCCTATACCCAACTGGAAAATAGGTTTCTATGCTAGATTTTCCTATGCTAGGTATTTCTATGCTAGTGAGGAAAAGCAGTGTAAAATGTCGGAAGTTAGTGAAATGGCACCAGCCTGACAGAACTCAAGGAGCATTTGGACGATACTCTTGGGCACACGGTGTGACCTTTGGGAATGGTGCTGTGCAGGGCAAGGAGCAGGACTCGAAGGTCCTGATCTATCCCTTACAATTCAGCATATTCTGTGGTTCTGTGAGCTTTCCAAGGCCTAGACATCACTTTACAGCTTGTTGCCTGCTTGTTTAAATCTCCCTTTTTGTAGAGAAGACTTGAAAAAACACAAAGACC